GCTGACAAGGAGAATTTGTTCAACAATCAAGAGCTTCAGAAGTTGGTGATCATTTCCTTGATTCTTGTGAACTTAGTGTTTGATTCAGGGGTGATATTTAGGGAGAAATTAGAAGCTGGTCACTCTTAGAGGTCAAAGGGTTAGCATGAATTCGTGTTTTTGAGGTTTACTGAGGTTTACACCTCAGATTTTTTGTTAGCTCCAGTTTTGCCTTACATTTGATGCAAGATTCAAAACTTTGCCTTCAAAACATTACGCTTCTCAAAACAAAGCTCTGACACACTATATACAAAAAACAATCAAAATTACATCAAAATGTTCACCCTGGATCAGCTTATTTAACTAGTCTGGTTATGAAATACTTAAAAATGTCAATAAATACATCATATGTTATATTTGTAACACTACAGATTGTATAATTTCTTTAACAGTTTGCAGTAGAATCCTACCACACAACTAATCTATTTGTTATAACAAATATGAACTGAAAACTGAACCCTTTCACTTGAATATTTCCTTCTTATTAATTGCTTTAGAAACAGCTTGATGTTCATAATAATCTTCTGACACAATAAGTTGCCTGGTGCATTGTAATGTTAACAAGTGCTGGGTGAAAAGACAACTAGATCATTGAAGTATCCTCCAGCATTGTCACCACCACCAAACACAGCAATTTCTTCCTTCTCTTTTTCTTCACCCTCCACAGGTAGAAATAGAGCTACATGCCCTGCCCTTGCTGTGAGGCTTTTACTGGTCTTAACTGTAATCCAAGTTAAAGTTCCTACAATCAGAATTAAAAATTGTACATCATTTCTGTTAGCATTCATTAATGGGGAGATGAACTACCGTGTTCATGGCACAGAGGTAGGAACAGAAGGTTCTTAGAGGGGAACAGGATCTCTCCAAGGGTGGGGAGAAGGGATCTTAACAAATAAATAAACCCTAAAATACTTACTTTTAAGGTACATAACATACTTTGGAACTAAGAGAGGGTCACACATAATACACCAAAATATGTAATCTATGACATTTGTGAGTTGTCGACAAGTACACCAATACAAAAAAAAATTGAACTCACCTAGCTCAAGTACAAATGAGTCTGTGAGGATCTGTTCACCATCATAACCACCATGAATGAAAATCCTTTGTCTGGGAAGAACAGCTGAGGCATGCCAACTACGAGGTGATGGAAGGGTGCCAGATAAAACAGGACTAGAAAACTCCATCATTGCTGAATTCAAAACCAAATCAACAGTTCTTTAAAATTATACTTGGTTTGGACTTGGACTTCTAACAGCAAATTTACAAAGGAGGAAGCAAAAATTATAGACTGCTTGTTAAACGCAAGTTGCTCTGAAACTCACCCAAGTCAATAATTGAAACATCATTGTAACATTGTGGAAAATCCCAGCCTCCAAATATAACCAATCTGTCACCTAATAAAGATGCTGAGTGACTGCCAATAGAAGGAGAAAATCTAAGTTAAATCTCAACTAACAGATCCCTGCCAAAAAGAGTTCTACATAAGAGTCACAACAGAGTTCCCTTCATTTCCAGACCAGTCACAACCAAAGCAGTACATACTCTAAACATTTGCAAAGCCTCAACTTGGCACTATGAAGAGTTACACAATTTTGGACCTTTCACTTTTCAACATTCCCCCTAGGCCACCCCCTGGCTTTTGAACTTTTGTAGATTGGTTAATTCAATCCCTCCCCCCTCCACCCCCATGGGAAAAAATGCATTGAAATGCCCCACTCAAGCACAAATTTTAATCAAAGGGGGTAAGAAACTGTGTTGATGGGAGAGTATAACAGGTTAATTTAGCCTTGTCAACTGAGTTGATAACATAAATTGATAAGTTGAGTGTTGGCCCTTTGTGAGAGAATTCACAAAGGGCTAATGCTCAAAACATTGGCTTTTAAACTCTTTATGATGGCCAATTTACATCATCCACTTAGTTGATAATACTATATTACAATTTTTTATTGAATTATTTCTTATTTGATCAACAAATTTTATATCTATCAAGGTCATGTAGCAGTTGTCAGCCCTGCTGTTTGATTTTTTGCTCAAAAGCATCATTCTAAAAAGAGAAAGTTTCCTTCTAGGCCATTTGCTCACAAAAGCTGACTCTTTATGTTTAATCTCCTCCATGTTTAAAATTAAAACATGTGTAGTCTGTCCACTGGTTCATACCCCCATCCCACCCAGGCAAGGTTCAAATTCCCCACTCCTGGGTTCTGACAACAGTCAAATACCTGAGGGTTACCTGGGGGGCAGGGGGGAAGTCGAAGCTTTGAATAAGGTGATTAAGTGCTGCTTTGGTCTCTAATGCCAACAAAACTCATGGAGTAGAACACCAGCATTATGTCACTTGGATCACATGTAAGACTTTATATTTTACTAGGAAACAGTTAATTTCAATTACCCTGATTTTGGTTTGGGTGGGGTTCCTCTTGTGATTGGTTTGTACCAGTTGTTTGATCCTGTGTTGAAGATATAAAGCTCATTACTACAGCCATCAGGTTCTGGATCAGGATTTGGAAACACACCACCAAATACAAGCAGCTCCCCACAAAACAAGTTACAGCTATGATAGGCTCTAGTGGGAGCATTACCAACAGCCTGAAAGAGAGAGCAGATATTTGCATTGCAATGTGTCAGAAGAATTGCCAGGAGAGAGTTGAAAATCATATGATGCAGTTTGAAAAAAGAATTTATCATAAGACAAAGCATTTACCTATCATAAAAACCCAGCCAGATAAGCAGCTAAAGGAAGCAAGCAATTTGAAATTGATTTGCTGCATACCACCTTAATGTTGGATTATTTCAATCTGAAAAGTGATAGAAATATAACTTCTCCTAGCCTTTCTCATACATTGTTCAACAAACAGGTGATGAGAATCAATAAAAAATCAGCCAAAGTCCAGGGTGATGGCCATTTCACCACTTCTTCCTCTAGTTACAAAGGAAATTTTTAGTAATCAGAGGTGACAGGCATGGATGAAATCTTGGGACCTGACCTAATGAAGTAAATCAATGTGCTTACATTTGTTCTCACTAACCTTAACAGCTGACCAGGTATTTGTTTTCAAGTCCAGAATGTTTACATCACTAAACCATCTCTTTGTTTTTGAACCACCATACACATACAACACTTTCTTCTCTGGGTTATACGTGACTGTGTGTCCAATTCGCCTATCAGCACCACCTCCTATGCAGCTCTCCTCATGCCAAGATGGGCATCCTTAAAAAAATATTCTGTCAAGCAAATTCAACATTATATCACAGCACAGAATGAAAGGAAAACTTTTCTCAAAGTTGCCTTTGGTAACCTTAAATCATTAATATGGTGTGTTGTCACTAAAAACAAAATAGTAAAAGTAATAAGTAAGGACACTGCAACATTGTACAACAAAATCTAAATAATCAGACTCTGCCAGGTGCTATGCTTACAATATTAAGGAGCTCTAACCTGCACCTGTTTCAGTCCCCAAGGTGAGTAGAAAAAAATTTTGTCAACTAATTTTTCAGCAAAAGTCGTCTCTTTAGTGACCTGTTTACTACAGTCATGCAGCAAGTACATTTATCAGTATCCTTATCATCTATTGCTTATCATGGTATAAATTGTAAAGTGATAAATATTTGCTTGAAATATTTTAAATAAGTAATTATGAATGTTGTACAAATTTTCAGTTCCACTTTGGGATGAGGAACTGAAATGTTATTTGACACAACCATTTTATAACTTAAGGTTTCCATGTAGCAACTTAAAGAGTGCTGAGCTACATAAATAAACCCTGTAAAACTATTTTTTCCATAGGAAGTGTAGAAAAGACAGGGCATAACAAACCTTGGGACAAATTCAAAGTCCAAACAGAATCTTTTGCCATTTGTTGCTTGTTTCCTTGTCCTCCAATTAGAATAGCCTTCCTCTTGTCAATCAAACACATGTCATGCCCCCATCGGCCTGACGGCACTAATTAATACAAGTAAATATACCAGTTTGTTTAAACCATATTCCTTGAATAAGTGCCCAGGTGCTCATTTAAAATTTTGGCTTAAGGGAGGGGAACCTATTGGAAAAAGATTGTTAAGTAAAAGGGGTGCTAATTAGGAAGCTACTAAACTGTTCTGATTCCAATTTAGTCAAAGCTTAAAAAGTTATAGATAAAGTGGCAATAGAAAGAGGTTTTCCTTGTATCCCTATTATTGGAGAAAGTAACAGAGGAGGGGGGG